GTCATGGTGCCCCACCGAAGTCCCCTATGGACCCCTATAGACCTATAGGACCCCTCCATAGGGTCTTGGTGCCCCCCAAAGTCCTCTATGGACCCCTATAGCCCTATAGACCCCCCCATACGGTCTTGGTACCCCCCCAAAGTCCCCTCTGGACCCCCTGATATCTCCAGTGGGGTCAAAGACCTCCCAAGGTCCTCCATGGACCCCTAATAGCCCTCCCGTAGGGTCTTGGTGTCCCTCAAAGTCCCCTACGGACCCCTATAGACCTATAGATCCAACCCCCATAGGGTCATGGTACCCCCCGAAGTCCCCTATGGACCCCCTGGTGCCCCCAAAGTGGTCAAAGACCTCCCAGAGTCCTCCATGGAACCCTAATAGCCCCCCTATAGGGTCGTGGTGCCCCCCAAAGTCCCCTATGGACCCCTATATCCCTATAGATCCCCCCATAGGGTCTTGGTACCCCCTCAAAATCCTCTATGGACCCCTGTAGACCTATAGATCCCCCCCCATAGGGTCATGGTGCCCCCCGAAGTCCCCTATGGACCCCTATAGACCTATAGGACCCCTCCATAGGGTCTTGGTGCCCCTCAAAGTCCCCTACGGACCCCTATAGACCTATAGATCCAACCCCCATAGGGTCATGGTACCCCCCAAAATCCCCTATGGACCCCCTGGTGCCCCCAAAGTGGTCAAAGACCTCCCAGAGTCCTCCATGGAACCCTAATAGCCCCCCTATAGGGTCGTGGTGCCCCCCAAAGTCCCCTATGGACCCCTATATCCCTATAGATCCCCCCATAGGGTCTTGGTACCCCCTCAAAATCCTCTATGGACCCCTGTAGACCTATAGATCCCCCCCCATAGGGTCATGGTGCCCCCCGAAGTCCCCTATGGACCCCTATAGACCTATAGGACCCCTCCATAGGGTCTTGGTGCCCCTCAAAGTCCCCTACGGACCCCTATAGACCTATAGATCCAACCCCCATAGGGTCATGGTACCCCCCAAAATCCCCTATGGACCCCCTGGTGCCCCCAAAGTGGTCAAAGACCTCCCAGAGTCCTCCATGGAACCCTAATAGCCCCCCTATAGGGTCGTGGTGCCCCCCAAAGTCCCCTATGGACCCCTATATCCCTATAGATCCCCCCATAGGGTCTTGGTACCCCCTCAAAATCCTCTATGGACCCCTGTAGACCTATAGATCCCCCCCCATAGGGTCATGGTGCCCCCCGAAGTCCCCTATGGACCCCTATAGACCTATAGGACCCCTCCATAGGGTCTTGGTGCCCCTCAAAGTCCCCTACGGACCCCTATAGACCTATAGATCCAACCCCCATAGGGTCATGGTACCCCCCAAAATCCCCTATGGACCCCCTGGTGCCCCCAAAGTGGTCAAAGACCTCCCAGAGTCCTCCATGGAACCCTAATAGCCCCCCTATAGGGTCGTGGTGCCCCCCAAAGTCCCCTATGGACCCCTATATCCCTATAGATCCCCCCATAGGGTCTTGGTACCCCCTCAAAATCCTCTATGGACCCCTGTAGACCTATAGATCCCCCCCCATAGGGTCATGGTGCCCCCCGAAGTCCCCTATGGACCCCTATAGACCTATAGGACCCCTCCATAGGGTCTTGGTGCCCCTCAAAGTCCCCTACGGACCCCTATAGACCTATAGATCCAACCCCCATAGGGTCATGGTACCCCCCAAAATCCCCTATGGACCCCCTGGTGCCCCCAAAGTGGTCAAAGACCTCCCAGAGTCCTCCATGGAACCCTAATAGCCCCCCTATAGGGTCGTGGTGCCCCCCAAAGTCCCCTATGGACCCCTATATCCCTATAGATCCCCCCATAGGGTCTTGGTACCCCCTCAAAATCCTCTATGGACCCCTGTAGACCTATAGATCCCCCCCCATAGGGTCATGGTGCCCCCCGAAGTCCCCTATGGACCCCTATAGACCTATAGGACCCCTCCATAGGGTCTTGGTGCCCCTCAAAGTCCCCTACGGACCCCTATAGACCTATAGATCCAACCCCCATAGGGTCATGGTACCCCCCAAAATCCCCTATGGACCCCCTGGTGCCCCCAAAGTGGTCAAAGACCTCCCAGAGTCCTCCATGGAACCCTAATAGCCCCCCTATAGGGTCGTGGTGCCCCCCAAAGTCCCCTATGGACCCCTATATCCCTATAGATCCCCCCATAGGGTCTTGGTACCCCCTCAAAATCCTCTATGGACCCCTGTAGACCTATAGATCCCCCCCCATAGGGTCATGGTGCCCCCCGAAGTCCCCTATGGACCCCTATAGACCTATAGGACCCCTCCATAGGGTCTTGGTGCCCCTCAAAGTCCCCTACGGACCCCTATAGACCTATAGATCCAACCCCCATAGGGTCATGGTACCCCCCAAAATCCCCTATGGACCCCCTGGTGCCCCCAAAGTGGTCAAAGACCTCCCAGAGTCCTCCATGGAACCCTAATAGCCCCCCTATAGGGTCGTGGTGCCCCCCAAAGTCCCCTATGGACCCCTATATCCCTATAGATCCCCCCATAGGGTCTTGGTACCCCCTCAAAATCCTCTATGGACCCCTGTAGACCTATAGATCCCCCCCCATAGGGTCATGGTGCCCCCCGAAGTCCCCTATGGACCCCTATAGACCTATAGGACCCCTCCATAGGGTCTTGGTGCCCCTCAAAGTCCCCTACGGACCCCTATAGACCTATAGATCCAACCCCCATAGGGTCATGGTACCCCCCAAAATCCCCTATGGACCCCCTGGTGCCCCCAAAGTGGTCAAAGACCTCCCAGAGTCCTCCATGGAACCCTAATAGCCCCCCTATAGGGTCGTGGTGCCCCCCAAAGTCCCCTATGGACCCCTATATCCCTATAGATCCCCCCATAGGGTCTTGGTACCCCCTCAAAATCCTCTATGGACCCCTGTAGACCTATAGATCCCCCCCCATAGGGTCATGGTGCCCCCCGAAGTCCCCTATGGACCCCTATAGACCTATAGGACCCCTCCATAGGGTCTTGGTGCCCCTCAAAGTCCCCTACGGACCCCTATAGACCTATAGATCCAACCCCCATAGGGTCATGGTACCCCCCAAAATCCCCTATGGACCCCCTGGTGCCCCCAAAGTGGTCAAAGACCTCCCAGAGTCCTCCATGGAACCCTAATAGCCCCCCTATAGGGTCGTGGTGCCCCCCAAAGTCCCCTATGGACCCCTATATCCCTATAGATCCCCCCATAGGGTCTTGGTACCCCCTCAAAATCCTCTATGGACCCCTGTAGACCTATAGATCCCCCCCCATAGGGTCATGGTGCCCCCCGAAGTCCCCTATGGACCCCTATAGACCTATAGGACCCCTCCATAGGGTCTTGGTGCCCCTCAAAGTCCCCTACGGACCCCTATAGACCTATAGATCCAACCCCCATAGGGTCATGGTACCCCCCAAAATCCCCTATGGACCCCCTGGTGCCCCCAAAGTGGTCAAAGACCTCCCAGAGTCCTCCATGGAACCCTAATAGCCCCCCTATAGGGTCGTGGTGCCCCCCAAAGTCCCCTATGGACCCCTATATCCCTATAGATCCCCCCATAGGGTCTTGGTACCCCCTCAAAATCCTCTATGGACCCCTGTAGACCTATAGATCCCCCCCCATAGGGTCATGGTGCCCCCCGAAGTCCCCTATGGACCCCTATAGACCTATAGGACCCCTCCATAGGGTCTTGGTGCCCCTCAAAGTCCCCTACGGACCCCTATAGACCTATAGATCCAACCCCCATAGGGTCATGGTACCCCCCAAAATCCCCTATGGACCCCCTGGTGCCCCCAAAGTGGTCAAAGACCTCCCAGAGTCCTCCATGGAACCCTAATAGCCCCCCTATAGGGTCGTGGTGCCCCCCAAAGTCCCCTATGGACCCCTATATCCCTATAGATCCCCCCATAGGGTCTTGGTACCCCCTCAAAATCCTCTATGGACCCCTGTAGACCTATAGATCCCCCCCCATAGGGTCATGGTGCCCCCCGAAGTCCCCTATGGACCCCTATAGACCTATAGGACCCCTCCATAGGGTCTTGGTGCCCCTCAAAGTCCCCTACGGACCCCTATAGACCTATAGATCCAACCCCCATAGGGTCATGGTACCCCCCAAAATCCCCTATGGACCCCCTGGTGCCCCCAAAGTGGTCAAAGACCTCCCAGAGTCCTCCATGGAACCCTAATAGCCCCCCTATAGGGTCGTGGTGCCCCCCAAAGTCCCCTATGGACCCCTATATCCCTATAGATCCCCCCATAGGGTCTTGGTACCCCCTCAAAATCCTCTATGGACCCCTGTAGACCTATAGATCCCCCCCCATAGGGTCATGGTGCCCCCCGAAGTCCCCTATGGACCCCTATAGACCTATAGGACCCCTCCATAGGGTCTTGGTGCCCCTCAAAGTCCCCTACGGACCCCTA